GCATTAAGTTTATATTTTCTTTACGATGCTTGCCATTTACTCTTGCATTTTGATTTTGAAGTGTTAATATATTTTTCTAGTGAAAAAATAAATAAGAATATGATGAAATTCGAGTCTAAATGTTTTCTGCAGCTTGTTGAAAGAATGTATTTGCAATTCATGTAGGGTCGTAGATTCAAATGTGTAAGAATCTATCACCTGTAATTGATAATTATATTGACCAGAAACCTCTTAATTACATCAAACTTCACATTGACCGAGTAAATTAATGGGGTAGGTATATTTTTACTTTCTTGCCCTTACGAAGGTACTTTATAACAAGAGAAAGTTACGTTATCATGTGCTGGAAAACCGAATTTTCTGTAGAAAAACTCTTTTTGCTGGACCTGATAACGAAAAGGTGAATAAATCCTGTTACTAAATGTAGAGGAAGAGAATTATCTACCACATGGTGTAAACAGAATCCAGGTTTTGAGGGTCCTTGATACCGAAAAATCAGTCGATGACAAAATGTCCATCTGGCCATCTGTGGTCAATGCTAGCACCTAAACTGTTCAGTAGATTTTTATCAAAATTGATACTCCCCAATCAATCTGAATGAACTTGAGTCTTTGGGAGGATATTTTGATATTTGAGGCCACTTTACATGAAGTCTGAAAAATATTTAAAAAAATTTCTCAAAAACAACACCCAAGTTTTCCGTTAGTTACAGAATGTGCTCTATATTACTAATAAATGCCATTTGCAATAACGACACTGTGGCAAGAACCTAGTAAGCAGTACAACGATTGATACTTTTGCATGAATAATTTAAGAGGATTTTGGAAGAAATTCAAGCATAATACGAAAACCCTACTGTGAATTCTGTTATGAAACCAATACCTCATAGCAAAGACTTGCCTCCTCCTTTACCTCAACATAAAAGTCAATCCAACAGTATTTTACTCCCCTATAGACAAAACTCTGCTTAAAGAAGAATCTTGTGAAGACAATGAGTAAAATTGGCAGAGTATTTTTATATTTAAAATCCATTAAAAAAAAAAATTAGTTGATGCCAAATAAAAGAAGGGATTTTTATCATTTCAGAAATGAGATTTTTAATCAAAAAACAAAATATCAATCAAAAACTAAATGATAAAGCATTGTGCACATGATCATTGTTTAACATCATGATAGACTATTTTTTTAGGTATCACAGAGCCCAAAATGTGAAATTTTTAGTGAACAATTTGTTAAATGCATATAAAAAGATGGGTACTGGATGTTATTAAAAATATATTTTTTAAATTCCCAATTCTCTTTCTTCCTTGCAACTCTTGAAGCTGTGAGTGTTGAATAAGGAGAACAGTTCAACCAGGAGGCTAGAAGAACGATTTGAAGGTTAGGATGTAGCTATGTTAGGAGATTACTTCTGATTACTACTTGGGATTTAATTAAGGAAAATTCCCTATCATCAAAAATATGGCATTACAATTTTAAACTTTTGTATTTTTTGAAAATTGAGTTCAGTGAAAATGGTACCTGCACCAAGTGTACTTTGCAATATTGGAGTAGTAATAAAAAAAAGTAAAGAAAATTATTTGGAGCAGTTTTGGAAAAAATATCTTACTTTTAAAATTGGTTTTATTTCAATTATTCTGACTACTCATATTTTTAAACTAGTGTGCAAAAGCACATACTTCTTGTGTTGACAATGTAATAAAATACCGCAATGTCCATATTAACATACCTCAGCATTCAGATGTGAAACTGTAATTTTTACGAATCGCATTGTTTTAAATGTGATAAGTAATTCTTTTAAAGCTAATATATAAACACAAGTTCAACAATTCCAAACTGCCATCTATAAAGGAAGAAAAATATTTGCCCATCAGTGAGAAGTGATTCTATAATTATCAAACTGCCATGTTGTGGCATTACCATTGTCATATTGGGTACTGATCTTGTGAAAAACTCCTCAGCGAAAAAATTGCAGGAAATTTGAATTAGCTACCAATATTACATGGATCTTCTTTAATTTGCAAAAATATTTCATTGGGTTAAAAATATTTTTCATTAATAGTGTAGTTTTGCAATGTTTAATTACTGAGTTCACTGGCAGTGGATTCTGCGCAATGTTTTGTGTACTCTGCTCTATTGAAAAAAAAATCGGAGCTGTTTCAGAGGATTATTTTTTGATTCTTCTATTTCAAGCAAAAATCATGCACAAGCTACTCGATTTTTTAAAAAAATTATACATGGCCTTATTAAAAGATCTGAGTTTTTGAATACATTTTATTAAGGAATAAATCTTTATCTTCAATATTGTGAGAACAAATTTTGAACTTTTGCTGTATTTGAAACTTCAGAATGACATGCATCATATTTTAAGAATATTTTGCCCTATCTCAGGGAAAAAATGAATAAAATATGTGGAGCAGTTTTGAGAAAATATTAAGGCTTTATGTAAAGTATTCTCTCAAATAAAAAATCTGTTTAAAATTGGCAGGGCCTTCAGTTTTCCCAGATTGAGAGGAAAATCTCTATTTCAGAGAAAATTGTCTTGGCAGTTTAAGTGTGAGCATTGGCCATGACACACAAACACATGGACACACACAGACAAGCTCATACGTATACACAGTCACTCAGGGCACCCATAAAAACCAGGGTCCAGTGGAATTGATCCACTTGGAACCTTTTTCAACAAAAAATTTCCTCCCAAAATTTTTAAACAGAATTCGTTTCTCCATGGATCAGAAATTACTAATAAGATTAAATTTGGACTAGGGATAAATATATTTTTCATTTCTTTTGAATTTAAAAAAAAATAAAAAATCAGGGTCCCAATAAAATTGGGGACTGGGGCAAGTTGCTCGACTGCCCCCCCCCTCCCCCCCCATTCTGATCACTCCAGTAGTAAGTCATTAAAACACATACACACACAGTCATGTTTTACCATACTGTTTTGATATCAAGGATCCACAATACGTGGATTCTCACTACTCAGTCTATTAGAGTAAGTTATTCTCTACATTGCAGGGACAAGATTTGTTCACTTTTACGATATCAAATCCTCACAATAAGATTTTTTTTTGTTGGTTAAAAATAGCTATTTTTAGCTATAGTGTTCCATACTTTCTTTCTGTAAGTAGTATGCAAGAAAGTAAAAAAGAAATGAGTTCATGACATCTTTTAAATGTGTAATTTTGAAGAACACTTTTGTTAAAAAAACATGTCTATGATCAATATTTTAGTTGGTGGAAGATAATGAAAAAGTTGAAACTGGTAATTTTCAAAATATTAGTGTTCAACAAAAATTAGATCTATTACGCCATTTTTATAAGTGTGCTTTTCTCTATCTGAAAAGAATTTGGAGATGTTTTTAAGAAAATTTTGAAAACATAAAGGCTTTATGTAAATTTGCTCCTAAAATTAATATAACTCTGTGAAATTCAAGGGGCGCTACATCTTTCAGTTCGATAAGGGAATATCAATTTTGGTGAAAATCCTTCCTAAGGTTTAGTGTTCACAGATGGGTGGAAAGACAGACATATTGTCTTAAACCAATTTCTCAGTATCAAGGACTTACAAAATAAGGATTTTGACTACTCAGTGTTGTATAGGAAATTATTTATGAAATGTAGGAACAATAATTGTATATTTCATTGTAATGAACCCTTAAAAGAAGTTTTATTGTCAAAAAATAGCTTTTGCTGCATTATTGTGCACTTTTCTCTACTTATAAAAAATGTAAAAATTGTTTTTGCTAAAATGCACAGTTTTAAGAAGATGAAAGCCAAAAAGGATCCTCTCTGAATCTCCCCTTCACAGCACTACCCTAATAGATCTGGGGCCTTAAAGATTTTAACTTCTTTCGTCTTCTAATGTCATATTTTAAAAATTTTATATTTAATTACTATTTTATTTTTTCCACTCAAGTTATGCCACAAACAGCTCTAAATAAATGATTGGTTTTGACTTGTGTCCTAAAATTTGTGCATATTAGCAAAACAGTAAATACATTCAAAATAGGAGCTGACAATATTGTCTGTTATAGTTTGTATTAATTTTTTTTCTTTCAATTCCGTAGAGCTTTAAATGATCCAATAAAAGAGAATTTTAAAAATTTGAAGTGTTTCAATATCCCTGACCTCAAAGTTCAGGATGTTGACTGCTTTTCCCCCTTATTTTACACCCCAGAACTAGAAGAAAAATGGGTTAGGTTACTGGGACAAAAGAAGTGTAATTTTTTTTTTTTTAATTGTACCTTTATTTCATGTTTGTTTCCTACTCTTGGGAGTAAATCTCAAGATTAAAACTAGTTATTACTGAAAATATATTGTTTTAGTAAAGATACAACAATAGTAAGATATTTTCATTGTTTATAATTAGCTTTTAGAAATGCAGTTGTCCTGTATAGTTTCTGTTTTATCATTTTCAGCTGTATCATTACCATCCTTTTATGGGGAGTCGTAATATGTATGTGGTAGGCCTCTTGTATCATGATAGTAATTCATAATGCAGAGGTATAACGCAGAAGAAGAAAAGAGATTTACAGTAATGCACATTTTACAATTTGTCCCCCACCATTCGCCACAACTACTTGCAAACATTCTGCACTTACAAGCCTTGCTATGTGCTGCCTTAAACAAATTGGAGCCTCCTTTGAGGATTTTCTAAGATGGAAAAGGGACAGAATGTGCATCAACTTTGCAAGTGGTTTCGTTGCATCATAATAGTACCTCGTTAAGGTATTCATCATTGTGATGTTGAGATGTCGTTAATGTTTCCATATCATGATTACCTCTGTCTTTCTGGATCTGTACTTTATATCCAAAGTGAATAATTAGCATATGTTTGAAAAGAATTTGAATGAGTTTTGAGAGTGGAACATAATTATTTATGTTGATTTTTCTGTTAACAATTGTTGAAGATAAATTTAAAAAATGTTATAATTTTTTAGCATAAATGATAACAAACCATTTTACTGACTATTCCCTTTGATTTTTTGTGTTTTCCAGGTAAAGGAAAGATTAAAACCATATGTGAAGGACCCTTACGCATGTGACCTGCTGGACAAGTTACTTGTGTTAAATCCTTCAAAACGCTACGATTCTGATTCTGCTTTGAATCATGACTTTTTCTGGACTGATCCAATGCCATGTGATCTGTCCAAGATGTTAGCACAACATACTCAAAGTATGTTTGAATACTTAGCTCCTCCGCGTAGACCAGGACATATGCGAGTGCATCATCACCATCAAGGTGGTGCTGGGGCAGCAGGACCTACAACAAGACCATCTTCTTCCATGGATAGTGGTTACCAGGATCGTGTGTTTTAATTTCAACGCTGTGCAATATTTGGAATATGAATAACACTTATCAGGTTATTTGTATTATTGTAGTTCATATGTGAACATTTGCTCTATTAATTGAACAACATGCATGAAAAGATTTGGAAATTTAATGCAGCATCGGTTTTCGGTCATTGTTTCAGTGGCAGTTCCATAGGATTACCCTACAGGGTGTCTCCAAAAATGTATACTAAGTTTTCACTACATGCACATTGTAAATATAATTACCCAACCTGAAGGTTTGAATGACTGAAAAATTAATCCTCACAATTTATATGCCAAATGATACATAAAAGCTAAGGTGTAAATTGGAATGCTTTTTTCACATTATGTTCAGGTCACAGACAATTTTATGGGTGCAACTTCTTAAATGTGATGGTTCATTACCCCTGAAATGCCACCACACACTTAACCCCAATAGCTAGCAAATTGTGCTGTGAAAATAATTAAAGAGAACAAGATAGGCTGTGAATGAAGGAAAGGCTTTGTTTGATAATCCAAGTGACTTTTGGCAACTTTTGTCTGTGTGTTACTTCATATTCTTACAGAATTTTCTGAAAAAAGCAACAAAAAATAATGATAAAAAATATTGATATAAATTCATAGATTTTAGGTATTCTTTTTTTTCTGTTATAAGAATGTCCCCACATTTGATTAGACATGAGAGGTTACATTTACATTTAAAGTTTGTTGTTACTGATGTTGCCAAAATACAATGAGTGGATGGCTGTAATTTTTCATAATACAAAATAAGCATGTCTGTGATTTTTGTTCTGAATAGCAAGTTTTATAGATTTCTGAAATAATACGTATGTGTTTCTCACTAGTGATTTAAAGAGGAAATATTTTCTTATTTTATATAGTATTAATCAACACTATTCAAATTGATTTGCAGGGAAATTAAAATTTGAAGAGAAAATATTGTGCTGTTATTAGTGTGTTAAAAAACTGCACTTGCCATTATTCACCTGACATTTATCAAAATTTGAATATTTCAATATTGAGGGATTTGTTTGACATAAATGTTTAGTGAATGTGTGTGCATATTGTGGGGCCTAGTGAGGCCCTAGGAATTCCAAGCAATTTATATTCCTTTCTTTCAAATTAATATTAGAATCTTGTTGGATTTGTTCAAATGCCAGTAAAGAGGGTTGTTTGTTAATGTTAAATACATCAGGTGTATCAGTAAAACCTAATCAAAACAAATCACTGTTAATGATTTTTAAACTGCAATGGTACTCAACAAGTACAGGGTGCAAGTATCGGACACTGGAAGAATCGTTTTTTGTTTTTTCTTTCAAAAAGAAGCAGAATGCCCAAATAAAAGGCAATTTCTGAGCTTAATAATGGAAAATGAATTGTTAGGGATATGTAGTGGAATTTGGAATTTCCTTTGTCTCACTAGTCCAACACAATCAGGATAATAGTTCCTTGGTATGTATATAAGGAGACTGATGTCCACATAACAATAAGGGAATATATTTGTAATATTTGTAACACCAAGTCCTGACTATTCATTTTAGATCCTTATATTGATTTCAAGTTCAGCAATTGTGACTTTGTTTTTATTGTAGCATTGTAGTAGTGAATTCAATTTATGGTAGTAAATATATGTCCTTGTTTTTTCACATTCTCATAATATTTTTCAAGTAAGAAATTAAAAATGTGTATTCTGTACTATTCAGATATTTTTTTTATCAGTGTGCCACAGCACAACCCATTCTGAAAATTCCATATTAAACTTAGAATGGGCTGTATAAAGCTGAGTATCAAGAAAAAAATGTGAGACTAGTACATATTTTGTTTGTTAATTTGCTACAAGAGACCAAAATATTCTTGATGTTTATTTTCTGTGATGTTAATTCTAGATATATATTTCTGATTTTAAAAAAATAATTATATTTTTTGTATGGCATAATAGTTCAGGCAAATGCAATAAAATTGTAAAACCATGTATTACATTTAGTGTTAGGAATATGTATTGTGTGTTTATATCTTGCTGCATTTTTTGAGACACTCTGTATATTTGCAATTTTTTACATATTCAATGCAAAATTTTATTACTTGCATACATATTTCTTAATGGAAAAATTGTACTTTGCATTTTGAAATTTAACACTGCAATCATGTGTAACAAGTCAAAAAAGTTACATGATTAGGTTTTGGTAAAAGTTACCTAGACATCTTTATGTAATTACATTTGACCAAATATTTTCCATCAGCTCACAGTACATAAAATCTTGGACTTTGTGGTAACTTATGCTGTCAGTACTTTCAATCAGTTTCTGCATTAATGTTCAATATGTACAATGTTTTGCTTCATTTGAAGTGTAAAAAGTCTCAGGAGATTTTTCTATAATAAATGTAGTGATATTTTGATCCACGATTTTTTTTGGTGGAAAAGTACCTTTGTTGCAACCGTGACTATCAAGAATGTGTTATGTATATATCTACTTTTTACATGAAATATATGCAATTTTATATTAAAATATTAATGAATGTTGCCTTCAATCGACCTAAATAACCCGGTGTACCGGAAATTACTTCCAGAACGTACATTCACTACGTGTGAAAACCTACTACGGGTTCTAGTCGCGCATGCGCAGTTATTGAGTGATACGAGACCCTACATTCATGCGAGGTAGTCGGGGCAGTGAGGGGTGTCTCGCGGGATGTAGAAGGCCGAGAAGTTTTCTGCCACTCTTGCCTCATGGAATGCTGGGAAGTGTATTGATTTTGCAAAATGGCTGAAGAATGACAACATATGGGCGATTTCTGGAAGTACTTGAAGTTGCCAACATGAGAAGTGTATTGCTGTGGTTCGCGTTTTATATTTCTACGCATTGTGGAGTTGGTGCTGATATCGAGCTATACCCTGGTAAAGTATTTTGTTGTTTGTTTTTTTTACCCTAGTTTCTTCGAGCGGTATTGTTTGGCGATGTTTACCCACGTTGACCGAACAAGCGGCTGCTTTAAGCGAATTATAATAGTTCCGTTTGATTGTTGCTCTCTTATTACAAAAAATCGCTACATTATGGTAACTGTGTGGTGTGGTGAATGAGATATTGGGTTGACATATCTCATTTTCCCTGTTTGTGGTAATTCTTTTCCACGCTTGTTAATAGTGAGAAAGTTACATACGTAATGAACGAGGGCACACTCTGTTATTGAGTACATTGCAACAAACTAATACTGAAGCATTGGCAGTACGCCGTGATGTTGCAAATGCCCTTTAAATAACATTTGTTATGATGAATTGACTTCGGTTTACCTCAGATTATTGGTATACAATGGTTGTTATTCGATGAACGGTAGGCTAACCCAGGCCGTCGAATTACTTGACGAGGCACCTCGCATGTAGGAAGTTAATATCCGGAAAAGGACAGCGTCCTTGGTACGTTGTGTTCGTTTGAAACTTAGTGTTTCTGTATTATTCCCGTTTCCACACCTTTATGCTGAAACAATTTTTTATTGGAGCCGTTGGTTGCCACAACTTTAGTTTCTGGAGGATCATGCTAGTGATCCGAGTTTGTGTTCAAAACGAGCTAATTACATAACGTTCGTCAAACAGCCTCAACAAACTGGCATTATGGCAACACGACAAGATTTTCATATAAAAAATATATAATGATATATTTTGCTGTGAAACTTCTTTAAATTATATTCTACGTAGTTCATTTTTAGTTTCTCGTTTTATTATCTTTACATTATAATTGCGATGGCAAGTGTCAGATAAATACATTATTTTTCTGTTAATACGCATTCCAGTAATTACATTCCATTGTACTATTTATGCTGTGCAAGTACAGTAGTTTGGAACTTTACATGCCATTTGTATTATATATTGAACATACTTTTGGTGTGTAGGGCGCAGGTACGTATGCATTTTTAATCATTTTCCCCCTCAATCTGTACAGAATATTTGAATCAAAATTCAAAATACAGGATAGTCTTCTAGCAGAATAAAGACTGAGAACTAAAAGAAATAAGTAGAAATTTTAAGAAAATATTGCCTTAATGAAATTAGGTTTGACGTTTCTTCTTTTTAGAAATCTTTGGAGGACCTGAAAATATTGTGCATTAGTAGACGATTAATCACAATCTGCTGTGACTTTTGTCGCAAGTTATGGGATCGGTAGATGAGGTTTCTATCATTGTCTATAATTTTTTGTGTTAGAATCCTTTCAAAGAAATGTCCACTTATGCCACGACTTATCACTAAAAACACCCGGAATTTAAAGAACTAAATTCAATTTTTAGAAAATTTCAAAATTTTTGGAGGTTTTCTCGTAAAACCTTGCCTCTCTGCACGCACACAAAATACGTTCGATGTACGTCATCGAACAATAAAGTACGCGACATCTCATTAAAGTAAAATAAAAACAAAACGCAGAGGCGTGAACTGAAGGCAATTCCATAAAATCAGTATCAAAAGACAAGATTTGTATTTTCTAACGAATGCACTTTTCATAAGGCAATATTTTTTCCACCTCGCATTATAATTTTATCACCATTTTTGTACCATATTTCAGTAATTTTCTAGTGGTTAACACCAATAATAATGTTGCTGAACAAAACCACCGGGTTTTGATTTTCCAAAAGCAGGCACGCACCTCCGCAAAAAATCTCTTATAATCCTGCAATGAATTAAATATTTTAACAAAAACTGCCTTCGCGAATATTGCAATAACATACAGTTCGGCAAAAGGTTTAAGACCAAACTCTCCGAAGTAGAATTTAGCTGTAGGCCGTATACTATATTAACTGCGAATTATCACTTCGCACATAATTGCACCAAGAAAACTGAACATTTCGGTAGTGCATTAAACATGTTTGTATATTTATATTAATGTAATTAATGTTTATCACAACCCGCGAAAGCAAGTTAAGGCTTTTGTGAAAAGTTATTTTTACTTTCTCGCGCTTAAGAAGGATCTTTAGAAGAAAAAGTTGTGTAATACTGTCCGAAAAAACGCCGAATTTTCGGCAGAAAAACTAATTACAAGGCCCTGGTAACGACAAAGTGGATGAATTCAGATGCTAGATTTAGAAAAAAATCTCTAATGCGTGGTGTTGCCAGGACCCCTGTTTTGAGGGCCCTTGATACAGAAAAATCGATTGACGGAAAAACGTCTGTCCGTCTATGTACAACGCTAGCGGCTAAACAGTTCAGCCGAATTTATCCAAAATTTATATTCTTCAATCGATCTGGCTGATGTCGCGGTTCCTTGAATTTGAAAGCGATATTTTAATTTTTGAGGGTACATTACATGAAGCCCCTGGGATATTTTAAACATTTTCAAAAAAAATGGCGCCATTGATTTTGATAAAATTTTGTTATTGGATAGTCTGAAGGACGTTCAAGAGAATGGCGTATGTCTCATGTTGGTAAAAAACTCTTATTTTTCGAAAATAAAAATAAAAAATTCGTCGTCTTCCTATAACTAAAATATTAGAGAGCAATTTTCCCCTTAATACATTCTGTTCCATAAAGATAATTTTGATATAAGGTCTTGAATAATTTTTACCAAGCATTGTTGCGTGAAATATAGGCAATTTTTAATTTTTGTATAAACAATTGTTTTCTCAGAAACGGCCGCATCGTTTTTGATTACATTTTGTTGATGGATAATCAGAAGGGCATTTAAGAAAATGGTGCAGGTCTCATAAACCATGATTTTTCGGCAATTGAAAATATTCAAAACGAGTTGTATTAAGTGTATTTATGATATAGATTAAAAATTATGATTATGAAAGTGATAATTGGTTGACGGCGCGGGCTACACAAAATAATGCGTTTGGGGACACTTCTCGAAGGAAAGAAGGACGCTATGCGAGAAACTTTCTGGCAAGCCGTGCACACGCCGTCATGGATAACACACAGGCTCCGAGTCTTCTGCGCTAACGGAACTGAATTCTAGAATATATTATAGATACGTTTTGAATATTTGCTCCGTAATATAAAATATTCGATCATCGAAAAATATTTCCATTTCTTTAAAAGTTTTACACAGCATAATGTCTTTAACGTATTATATTTTTAATTTAATTTCTTTATGTTTTAGTATAAGACTCAGTAAAAGGAATTGTTTAAGGAAATGTTGAAAGATTTTAAGAATAAATATCAGCATTACGTAACACTAGACAATGACCTTCCTACCCCTATGTAACGCAGCGTAACGCTGCCTCGAACCCCGTCCCCGCATTTTAGCGACCACTAAAACGAATACTTTTATGCATTTGTAGAATATTACAATACCGTAGTGTTTAATAATTACTATTATATATATTTTTCGATCTATTTGTTTCTAACGCTATAAGTATCTTATTATTGATTAACTTTTAAATATTTTACTTTCTTACATTGAACTTATTTTTTGCACCTAATGTTCTACGATTCCAAATAAGTTTGGCAAAAAATAATTCGGAGAGAAATTGTGGTATCAATAGTATTACATAACCATTACTACTGGCGAGAAAGTACGTGCTATTTTAGCCCCACTTGTTTCTTTCGGAAATGGATTGCTCTAGAGAGCTGTAACTTCGAATGTTCCCAGATCTATTGAGAAGTTTTCAGTATATTGGGGTTACAAAAATTACCAACAATCCCTGAAGCAGCTGAAATTGTTGGGCTTTGACAAGGCCGGCGGCGTTTGCAGAATTTCTTAACTACGCTTCGTGAAGTAACGGAGGTTAAGCGAATTTAAGACATCGCGGGTCCTGCCCGTCTAGGAACCCCGGAATCTAATGGCGACGAGCCCCTGGCCGAAAGGATAAAGAGCATTGACTGTGACGTGAAGAGACGTGTCTAAGATAGTAATAACTTCCAATTAGTAACGATGGATTATTCCAGAGAAAGCGCTGCACACTCATCGGGGATTAATGAGACGCGTTGAGTTAACGATGACGGGGAAAAGGGTAAGAAAAGCATGCGAAAGTGAATTATATTTCAATTGTAAATTCATGTACCCCTATAGAGCACCATCAACCCCTATAGCAGCAGAATTACCACAAAACGTGTTGAATGAGTCGCAGCACATTTTCAATGTATTGTGACAGCTGTCATTGTCTTTAGATTTTTTCTTCTGTTCAAATTAATTTTTTTAAATATCTCTCACGTTTATTTTT